AAACTTATAGTTAACCAAAGGGAAAGGTGGGAGATGAATTAGGAATTTGGGACAAACAGATAAACACTACTATATATAAAATAGATTAACAACAAGGACCTACTGTACAGCACAGGGAGCTGTATTCAATACCTTGCAATAACCTATAATGAAAAAGAATACATATGTGTGATAACTGAATCACTTTGCTGTATCCCGGTAACTAACATTGTAAATCAACTACATGTCAATAAAAATTTTTTTTAAAAAGGGTGGGGGAACTGAAGCTGGTTGTTATGGTCTGCTCAAAGCCACATGTCTTGAAGGTACAATAGTACATATACAACATTTATAAGACTCCTCAATACACAACTCAACTTCTAGTCAAGCAACATTATAATATTCAGGTTATTAGAGAAAATATTTTGATGTCAATAAAATTTGTTTAAATCATGAAAAAAGAATATATGCATATGTATACATATGTACGTGGGTATAACTGGACCACTTTGCTGTATACCTGAAACATCTCAAATCAACTATACTTCAGTGAAAAAGTTGAATGTAAACCATTTTCTGAAAGGTATGTATGCATCAGTAAAGAAGGATTTTTTTAAATAACTTTTGGGAGGGGACACTGTGTTCAAGGAAATTACACAAAGAAAAATTTTGTATTTTGTGTAAAATACGCTCCCAGATTCAAGGAGAGGACGCTTTAGTCTTAAGTTTCTTAACCCTCTTGCTAATTCCTGGGAGGATTTGGCCATTTTTTATCTAAGAGGGGAAAAAAATCTTTATTTTATTTGAGAAGAAGTAGTCAAAACATTCCACCTTACCACAGAAGTCCTCTAGAATCCTCGAGAAAATCATCCGCTGATGTCTAGGCTTCCTTAGTAAACACAATTGCCCCTGCTGCCCGTCCTGGGAGTCTGAACGTGAGCTTCTGTTCCAGGTCGCCTGAACTGGTGGTCCACTGTGTGCACGAGCTGTAAACGGCTTCTACCCTTGGCCACGACGGGGGATGGGAACTGCCTTCTACATGCTGCCTCACTGGGTAAGCCCCATGGTGTAGACAGAGGGTGCTAGTGCCCCCGGCCTGCTCTGCGTGTTGTTAAGAGACAGTCATATACAAACTAGAGCCACGTGCTTCACTGTCACCTGGAGGAGTTCGTAAGGGATGGAGTCACCAATCCCAGCCCTTCTTTTCAAGTGCCTGGCAGGCTTGGTGGGGACAGAGAGCACACACAAGGAAAGGAGGTCTGAGCAGAGCTTCAGGGATGGCCGTTACAGATCATGATCTAGAGCAACCAAAGAGGACTTCCTGGAGGAGGTGGGATTTTTTTTTTCCTGAGACCTGGAGAACTTGAAAGAGTATTTTAAAAAGGACATTCCAGGCAGGGAGACCATGTAGATAAAGCATAAAGGCAAGAATTGACAGGGTGTTTGGAGTCAGGGCTGAGCTCTGTTAGGTTCGAGCAGGACATGGGGAGTAGTGTATGAGGTTGGGCAGGTCTGGGGCCACCACATTGATTGTAGCTGATGCACTTAGACTAACAAAAAGACAGATGTAGGTACCGCTTGGGTAAATACCATGGAGATTGGCACAGTCTGCATGTACAGCGGAGAGGTCAGCATCTTCCTCCAGTGGGGATGCAAGCTTCTTGGTTGCAAAAAGCGACACCAGCAGATGCATAGGTGTGGGTGGCAATATTTGGATGCCTGAGAGTCACAGTAGGCTTTCTGGAAGCTCAGTTAACCCTCCTGGACCCAGGCAGGACTGGATTTGTGCTAGGGACCCCAGCACCAGGACTGGGTGCTCCTGAAGTTTAAGGTCCCACTCCACGGATGGGATCCCCAGACAAGAACATGGTCCTCGTTGGCCAGACTCGCCTCCCCAGCTGTACATGACCTTAACCTGATGCTGTGACCAAGAGCAAGGAGCACACCCCAGACCTCGCTTCAGACCTGCAGTGAGGCCTGTTCAGTAAGAGGCGGCCTGAGATGAGACTGAAAAGGCTTAGAGGGAAATGTACACAGTCGGGGAAGGACCTGGAGATGCCCAGAGGAGAATGGAGCCTGGGAACATTCCACATTCCGTGGGCCTGACAAGGGGTGATGGGGAAGACAAGCACACCCACCTACCTGCTGCCTTTCTGCGTCAAAACTAATGTGTTTCTGTCAGTTGACATGATAAAAGTATTCCACGTTCATCATAGTAAAATAAAAATCAACAAGCACACTGCCTCGGGAGGGCCATTTTTCGCACGTTGGTCTATCCTTTTCCACTCTTTTGTCTATTCTTCCAGTGAAATTGTGCTCTCACTGTGTACAGTTTGGAATCCAACCTTTTTCCCCTGAAAATGTTACCGAAACTTTTCCATGCCAATCTTCAAAACCCTGACTTTGCTAGTTGTGTCCTGTTTCATCATAACGTAGGAACTCTCTCCCCATCCTGGAACTTACTTCACCCTGTTCTGTATAAAACCTGGAGGAAGAATATGAAGAAAGAGATGTCTCATCTGTGTCACCCAGCAACCTCTTGGCAAAGAGGCTTTGCCCTGGAAATGCCTTTGCCCTTCGGAAACTCAGTGGGCAGAGACACAGTCCCCATCACCACCGCAGATGGGCAAGGCCACAAGCCAGATGGCCACACGCCCCTGGTGCCCTGTCTGCTGGCAGGTGTCTCCCTGTGAGCCCGGCAGGCCTCCCGAGTCTGCCTGGGATGAGAACACCTCCCCTGGGTGGGCCTCGCTCCAGCAGCGAGAGAGGCTGGGTCGTGACTGAGCCTGGGCTCTCGGCCGGTTGGTCCTTTTCTCCCGGTGGTACTTTGTTTCCCTGTTGTACTCAAATTGCTGGACCCCAGAGGACCAGGACTGCCCAAGAGGCCATGAGACCATCATTGGCAATGCTTATCAGACCTGCTGACCAGTCCTGGCACTGACCTAGGGTCTGGGGTACACATAGAAATGATGGTGATCCGGGGGTCAGGCTTGTGGGCAGACATTTATGGGACAAAGAGACCCTCTCAACAAGAGAGACCCAAACAAGGAGCCGTGAAGCTTAGACTGGACGAGGCGCTGGCCCTGTTCGGGAGAGACCAGGAAGGAGGCTGCAGGCAGGTCTGATGGACAAGAAAGCTCAGCTTGACCTGTTCTCAACAGGATCATTGATGGCCTCCTCCCTCCCTCTGTACCATAGAAAAGGACCAAAATCTCACTTGATGGGAGGCCCACAGCAGTCCCCTGGTTGTCACATACCTTTGCACTAAAGGATGCATGGTGAGGAGGGCAGGGTACAGCTCAGTGATAGAGTGTATGCCTAGCATGCACGAGGTCCTGGGTTCAATCCCCAGTCCCTCCATTAAATAAACAAGCAAACAAACAAACCTAATTATCCCCTCCTCACAAAAATTTTTAAAAATAAGAAATAAAGGATGCATGGCTAGATGGAGCCTCTGATTATCAGTCAGTGCAGGTCACCGCTCTCTGAAAGCTCTCAGAAGGTCCCAGCTCATTTAAAAGCCCGCCTTTCCACTCTTCACCTCGTCCTCTCCATCCCAGCTCCAGCCACCTTTCCCTCCTTAGTATGGCTCGTAGGGCCCCCTCAGGACTGGCCCCGGGCCTTTCCCTCTGCCCGGGTCGGTGACTCACCTCCATCCTTCACCACTCAAGTCCTTGCTCCAATGTCTCCACTCATACCACAACCAAATCACCCGCCACTCTGTCCTCTTGGCCTGCTTCTCCCCTTACGGTGCTGCTACCCCTGACATGGTATGTTTCATGCTGACCCCATGGTTCCCCCCACTGCCAGATGTGAGCTCCGTGAGATTTTAGGAATGTAGTTGGTCCTGGTTGCTCCTGTGGTTATTCCTCACCGCTATATTGAAATAAGTATGAAATTCAGTGGAATTAGTGATATTCAATTAAATAAGTGAATGAACGAATGAATGAATGAATTCCTCCATTCTTTCCCTGAAACCAGAGCTGCACTTTCATGGTGCTTCTTCAACTGACTGGGTTTCTTGGCCATTTCTGAGCTTCCCTGAGGGCATACTCAGACATGCCGGTTTGCCTGCATAACCCCTGGGCACCTAGCACACGCAGGGAGGGGGCAGTGGCGGGAGCCTCTCCCTCGGAAGCTGGCAGTCTCCCTGGGGCCCGGATGTGTGCATGCTGTCCTCTGACGCTCTGCTTCTCCGGAGGCTGAGATGCCTTAGGCTACAGACATCAGATGCAGCAGACCCCCAGTGAAGCCAGTGTCTGACTGCCATCCTGGCTTGGAGCCCTGCGTGAGGACACATCACCAGCTAGTCCCCACAGGTCTCTCCCACTCAAACCCCAGACCTGGACAGTGAACATTACATCCCCCAGAGCAAAGCTGAGAGGTTGAGGGTGGCCCCAGAGACAGGCAGCACTTAATGAAACTGCAGTTGAGTTAAAGGGGGCGGTGCTCCTTCATCTGCCGCTGCATCCCTGGGAAGCATCAGACGGAACAGGGGGAGGTGCCTGCTAGTCGTGAGAAGTGCTCAGCTGAGTAATGAGAGGTCTCTGTTCACACAGCCGAGGGGACCAGGCTGGGTCAGTGGTGGCATTTCTGTCACCTCATGGCTTACTCCCCTTCCTTCCTCACTTCCTTTCTCTCTCCTCTGCTCACGGGCCTCCCGGCTGCAGGAATGTGGGGTTTTCACGACCGGGACCTAGTTTTGCGGAAAGCTCTCTACACCATGATGAGGACAGGGGCCGAAAGGGAAGCCCTGAAGCGGAGGTGGAGGTGGCAGCAGACGCAGCAGAACAAGGAGGTAGGTACTCACCAGCGTGGCAGAGCCGGGTACCACACCAGGCAGGGCCAAGGGCCATGTTGGGTCTGGATCTGAGCCCCAAGGCCAAGTCTGTCTTGTGAAGTCAGGAAGAAATGGCCCCTTCCCCCATTTAAAGCCACTGAAGAGGAGCCTGTTACAGGAGCTCAGCCCCTGCCCACAGTGGCCAGACATCCACTCACACCATCTGTCCTGGTGTAGCAAGGAAAACCAACTCCCTTCACTGGCAAAGCTGTCCCGACCTGTCAGGTGAGGGCTGCTGGGGACACGAGGTGGTCCTGGCCCTGCACACGGCCCCAGCCCCAGCGTGTGCTAGGTCCAAGGAGAACTCTGATCTCTGACCCTTAGTGAGCATGGCCCTTTGCTGGCCTGCAAGTCCTTGGAGCTGGGCTGCCTGTGGTCCTTTTAAGTTTCAGTGGTTTGCATGCAGGTTAACATTTGGTGATTCCCACCCCAGAGGATGACCCTTGCTGCTGAGTGGACTTCCGACAGCACTGAAGATGGAAATCAGGAGTTCTGAAAAAATACTGCCCGTAGCAAATGCGGACAGTCCTTGGCCACCAACAGGTGTGCCCGCCCCAGGGGCTGACAAGCCAGAGGTCAAGCGCGGGGGCCGCACTCCCCTGGGGCCGGGGTGGTAGTGTGGAGGCCCCGGCCGCCTCCTGAGCCCCGTCCCTCTGTGCCAGTCAGGGCTGGTGTACACCGAGGAGGAGTGGGAGCGGGAGTGGACGGAGCTGCTGAAACTGGCCTCCAGCGAGCCGCGCACGCACTTCAGCAAGAACGGCGGCACCGGCGGCGGGTAAGTGCTACCCCGGCCCTTCCAGGCTCTCCCCGACGACGAAGGCGGCGTGGGGAGTGTGAGGGGGAGCCTGTGGGACCTCCAAGCTGGGGGCAACACAAGGACCCCCAATTTCAGACTTGAGAATTCTACCGAGGACGCAGCGCGGGGTGGTGCGGGACGGCGGGACCCTGCCGGATGTTTGGGGACACGCACGCAGCCCCTTTGTGTACTCCCCCTGCAGAGGCGTGAGCTCACACGTGCCCACCCACCCCGCCTCCATTTCGGGCGGCGGTGGGGAGGGGCTCAGCCTGGGCGGGAGGCACGGGTGGGGGTGGGTCCCACACTGCCCATGTACTCTCCAGGCTCTGAAGCCACAGACTGGTGGTTTGGATTTTTTCATCTAAATATCTCATTTCTGGCTTCAAGAGGTCACAGTGAAACCAAAGATCGTTAGGCGAGCCCAGCATCTCCCAGACGGGCTCCGTGGACGTCATGCGTGGTCCCGGCCCAAAGGCTCTGCGGCTGCGCACACGCGAGGAGTAGCTGTCCCCGCAGACGCAGCTAGAACGTCCCGGTCCCGGTCCCGGTCCCAGTCCCAGTTCCAGTGTGGGAATGAAGGGCGGGCCAACGGCAACCACAGTGCCTTTGGCCCCGGAGTGCAAAAGACACGTTCGTACTTTTTCAAGCTGAGGGCCAGGTGGTCAACCCCAGAAAAAGCCTCAGGCAAACACAGGACCTGTAGGCAGTGCGTCCTGGCCGCCCCCTCTGGGCATCCGGGGGGACCTCAGCCTCCGCCACAGCAGGGTGGGCATTTCCCCCACAGCGCTGGACCGAGGCCCGTCAAAGGCGAGATATTAAGGAAGCCCGTGAACACTCTTCCTACGGGGCTGTTTTGTTGCTTTGTTTTAATCATAAGGCGTGTCTGCACCAAAAGTCTATCTTGTTAGGACATTTGGGGACAAATATTCTACAGACTCAATCCATTCCTGAAAACACCGCTCTGTACTCTCCCACACTGCTGAGTCATGCCTGGGATGTGTCTAAAGTGTTCCCGGCCATCCTTGTCCCCATTGCCCCTCCAGCCTCTGCCGCAGGTGCTGGTGGCCTGGATGCAGCCGGAGTCACTTCCTGGGTGGGAGAAGGGTGGGGAGCGACAGCGGTAATGATACGAATGGCAAGTGACCGTCGCCGCATATTGTGTACCCCGAGTCCTCTCATCCAGGAGGCACTTGGCAGGCAGTCACATGGCTGGTCCAGGCCATCTGACTCCTAAGGCCATGGCCTCCTCCCTGGGACCAAGGGGACTCAGAGCAGGAGAGCTGAGGGTGCAGCATCCGATGCCTCTTTATCCCTGTCTCCCCTCACTGGGACTCAGGTGTGCTGAGATCAAGGCAGGACCACCCCATAGTGGCCCCTAGGTGATGGTGATGGGCAGTGGCAGTGGCAGTGTTCCCTGCTACCCGCTTCTTTCCCCCATCTCTTAAGCCTTGAAGATTATAGGGTGAGGGGAGAGGATGTAGGACCAGCTGACCCCTCACCCAGCCCACAGGCAGGGCGCTCGGGTGTTGCTGAGACCTCCAGACCCAATGGTGCTGCCCTGGGCCTCCAGATGTCCCCCTCCTCCAGGACCCCTTCACCATCTGTTTGGTTTCAGTTGTACAGATGAAAGTGTGTCTCGTCAGTAGGGATGAATGTCAAATGGGAGGTGTTACTTTTCCCCCAACACATCCCCTGATCTTTTGGAGTCCGGTCCATGCAACTTGGACCAGCAGGTTCTGGGGACAGGCGAGCATCACACTGGCCACTGGCGTCCTCTTCCATCAGGCGGCGCAGAAGTGCTGGGGAAGGTGGGCAACACCAATGCTGGCAGGACTCTGATGGGTGCCGTGGGAGCACCCTCTTCCCCGTCCCTCTGCCGGACCATGGCTCAGAAACGCTCTGCAGAGTGGTGTCCAAGCCCCGTGGCTGGTTTCTCTTGGATTTCAAATGGTCCCAGGGGCTCAAATCCTCCCCCACCTCATTGCCCTCTCGAGCCAGGGCACAGAGTTTGCTGGCCAGATTGACTGCAGCCCGCAGGATGGGCCCCTGGCCCACAGCAACAGGTAAATCCCAGAAGCAGGTGGGGAGCTGCTAGAATCAAGGCTATTTTGGTTCTGACACGTGGCTTTTGTAAACACGTGAGCTCTGTGAGAGACACCAGCCTTTAGTCGCCATCATGCGATCCCCACACATTTTCCTCCCCTCTGGTCGGCTGTCATGTGGTCATGCCAACCGAGAACAGAGCTGTTTCCTCCCTCCAGGAGAGGCTCCCCGGCTGGGGGATCTACCTTCCTTTGGGGTTCAAAAGTCCAAAAAAGAGACTTTCCCTGAGCAGGTTTTCAGCGTCTGCATTTTGCCTCTGTCTTCTCTGGAAGAGGTTAGGAGGGGTCCCTCCTCGAGTTGAGCTGAGGGATGTGAAGCATCCCTGAGGCTCAAGGGCCATGGAGATGGGTACCCAGCGCCTGCCCCAAGGCTCTGAAAGTGGAGGCTGGATGCCCCCGGGGGTCATGCATACTTCCCAAGCTCCGGGCATGAATCCTGGGAGGTGGCCCAGGACAGGCTCTCTTCAGGACTCTGCCTATGATGAGGGTGAAGCCCAGAGGCCAGGCCTGAAGGGCAGGCCAGCCATACCCCTGGGTACCAGCCCTGTGTCCAGGGAACAGAGGGCAGAAACCCTCAGCTGGGGGGAGGTCTGAAGAGCTGCAAATGCACATCCTTGGAAGTGGGGTCAGCACTGGGGCCTCCCCCAAGCCCAGCGGGCACCCGAAGCAGGAGAGCCCTGAAGGACTTGGCTGCCCTCTAGCCTCTCCTCTCTGGCCTGTGCTGGCCCCACAGGGGACATGGGTCCTGCCAGAGGACAGGGTGGAGATGAAGGGAGAACCAGAGAAGAACTGGGTGGGCTGCAGTGGGCTTGGCTCAGGACTGACATAACCCCCAGAACAGAACAAGGAAAAGTGATCAGAAAGGTCATGCAGATTTTCCAGAGTGCATTCCGGGGAGGGAGGGCTCTAGTCAAGAGAGCACATTTGCAGGGACAATGGTGAGAAACACGAAAATGGCTTTCCTTGTGTTGGCTTCCACACCAGGCTCCCTCAGACCCTGGCTCCCGGGGGTGAGGGATGGTGCTGGCTGGTCCTTCCCTCTGTCCGGCTCCTGCCAGCTCCTGGCCTGCTGTCACCAGCACAGATGGGACAGAGCACACTCTGCTACTCCCTGCCTGGACACTGGCCCTGCATCACTGTTTAAACCAACTACTTTCCCAGAAAGCAACCAGGTTAAACATCTGAAGAGGCCGAAGGGACTGAGGGTCAGACCTGGGGATGCCCTTGGTCCACCTCCTGACTTCCTCCTGCCCAACTCGCAGTGGCCCTTCCCCAGGCTCACTGGCTGAGCTCTGTCAGGAGACTCCGGAGGCAGGGATGCATGTCCACAGCTGGCTCAAGGAGAAGGGCAGGGACCAGGCTGGGGTCCGGGCAGAAACCACCATGGACAGGCTGCTTAGGACTGGTGACCACAGAGTAAGGCGCCCTGTGAGACCCCAGGAAGACTAGGATGGTGTGGGCTTCCTGCTGAGCTCAGATGCAGGAGAAAGAAGGGATGGTACCTGCAGATGCAGACGCGGCAAGCACAGTGAGATCCAGGACCAGGCAGAGGCGGGTGCTTCCGAGCGGGGTGCAGCTCAGAACTGCAGGACCAGGTCTCTCTGACACTCCTACTTGCAAATCAAAATGTGTCCTTTTCTCAGTGGCTAAAATAAAAGAAATCAGACGTTCTGGGCTGCGGCTCCTCCAGGGACCCTCTGAGGCGCCACATGTGAAGCCTGACCTCCAAGGGGGCTGCTGGGTGTGTGACCACCCCACAGCCAAAAGTGAACTCAGCTTGCCTATTGCCAGAGCCTCCATCCCGGGCGCTCCAACCCACGTGGGGACTGTGAGGAAAGGGCTGTTCCCCAGAAGGAAAAGGAAGACTAGGAGGAGAGAAGGAAGTAAGTCCACCCTAAGTTTGCACAGAAACCAGTGCTGGAGGGAGATTATCCATCACCGCCCCCCTCGCCATACACTCTGAGAATGGAGACCGTGTGCAGCAGGAGGAACCCATGCTTGTTCTAAAACTGCTAAAATCTCTGAACGTCAGTTAGTGACAGCCTCGGGTGCTTCATCCAGCTTCAAGGCAGCTGAGAAGTAGGAAGGGGGGCTGCCTGGTGGACCCCGACCAGAGACCCAGATGACCTGGGTTAGCATCTCAGGCTGGGTGTGTGATCTCGAACACATCTCCCAAGCTCTCTGAGCCTCCGTGTTGCTCAGATGTACAATGCACTTGGTAGCACCCTCTCTGCTGGGCTGTATCCACTTTTGATGGTTGTGTAGTAAACAGCGCCAAAACTGAGTGGCTTATATAGCAAAGCCTCCAGATATGCTCATGTTCTGGGCATCAGCAATCTGAGCTGGAATTGCCTGCGGCCACTCAGGTAGTCCAGGATAGCCTCACTCACATGCTCTGACTCTCGCTGGCCTCTGTCCTGGTGCGTTTTTATCCTTGAGAAGCCTCAGGCTCCTTTCAGTCAGGGCAGGAAGAGGGGCAGCCCTCACTGTGAAGGTGCTTCTCAAGCCCCTGCTTGCATCGGGTTTTCTGACGTCGCACTGGCCAAAGCAAGTCTCGTGGCTGAGCCAGACTCTGGGAAAAGAGAAAGAGACTCCATCCTTAATGGGAGGAGGGGCAGTCACATTGCAAAGGGACACGTTCCCGCGAATAGGAAGGATATGTGTCCATCTTTTTGACGATATCACCCTTTTGACTACTGTCGCTTTGTAATAGATCTTAAAATTCAGTAGCATTATTCCTCCAACTTTATTCTTCCTTTTTAATATTTCTGGTCTTTTTTTTTTTTGCTTTGCCATATAAATGTATGGAATCATCTTACCTATATCTGGAAAATATCTTGCTGGAATTTTTACTGGTATTGCATTAAATCTATACAT